AGGCAATTGACAGCTCAGGGTCATTTTTGTGGATGGAACATAGGTGTTCTGTGAAGTTGTCACACAGTCTACACATCGTTTCCCGAATGTAGACGAGATTACATTTTGAGCAGCGCATGCAGTCAAAAGTGCTTTACCTGAAGGTGTGTTTGAGCCCTTGAATACTGAGGCGGGGACACAGTAAAAGGACAGGTGTTACATCTTCTGTGGTTGCAGAGGAAGGAGCCATGGAGTTATGGTGAGAAAAACCACCCTTCTGCATATAAGCTGGCATTTTCCTAGCTAACATCAGTTCTAGGAAAGATCACTGGGCCCAAAATGTTAACTATGATTTCTCTCCATAAATGCTGCCAGGCCTGCTGAACTTTTCCAGCATTTTCTAATTCTGTTTCTGATTTACTGGAGGCCGGTGCCAAGCAAGATAGGGAACAAGGTGGTCTTAGGAGAGATAGGAAGAGCCCATTCTCTCCAGGATCACTGCGATGCCTTCTCCTTCCTGCAACAATGTCCCGTGTAAGTGCAGAAGATACAACAGGATTATCCATTCTCTTCTCACCCCAAATACTACTTTTGGAGAAACTGACTTGCTTGTACTTCTTTCAATTTCATATTCAATTGGCTCATCATGTGGTCTCCAACCCATGTCCTCAGAACATTAGCCTGGAGTTTTGGATTGCTAATTGTGTGACGTCACCATTATGTTACACAACATGTATCCCCACAATTGCCTCGTGGTTATCTCTGCCACCTTGGACCAAGTCAGAAAAGGAGGAAGGTGGCAGCAATCTACCCAACTACATATTGGCATTGTGTGACAGTCAGCAGTACTCTCAGTCTGATCTCACCAAGGTCCCTTATAACAGCAGCCAGATCGCCTTTTGCTGTAATGGGACCACAGCACCAAGCTTCCCTACTGCAGGAGTGTTGAACACAGCTTTGTCTGCAGATAGTCTTGAAGGCAGACTGTGCAGAACCTGCAGGTAATTCGGGCTGTCACCAAGGCAAGGTTGGTAGGCCCAGGGCAACAGGGTATGCAGCCAGGATTGATGGGGTAGAGGAGGTTGGAGATGTGAAATACAGGGGTGTTTCCTCAATGGGCAAAGCATGACCAAACAGCAGATGGCCCTTTTGCCCTGCATATAAGTTTCACCATGTCTGACTGGAGCACCTGTAATCTTAGTGCCCTTCATTCATGGGTAAAATACCACTAGTAGTGGGACGCGGCTCTTAAGTTGTCATTTAAGGACATCAATTGGCCCAAGAATAAGTAGGTTGCAGGTTTGGCCTAGGACACTACCTTGGCAACTTCTGCAAAGATGTACTGGAGCTGAGATGACTGACATCCAACAACCACAACCATCTTCCTATATGCCAGGCCTGACTCCAGCCAGTGGACAGTTTACCCCCTGATTCTTATTGATTCCAGTTTTACTTGATCAAATTCTGCCTTGAAGACACTCTCTCATCAATTCCTAAACTCAGCTTCTTTTGTTCATGTTTCAATTAAGTTGGCAATGAGGTCAGGAGCCACATGGCCCTGGAGAAACTCAGTGACAATCTGTTTATTGGTTGGAAAGCCCAAGGCCACTCAATCTTGAATGGCCCTGGAAGCTCTGACTGGATTTCATGATCCCCAGGCAATTAGCTGCCTGCAGTCATGAAGTTTGCTCCTTTACAGAATGGGGTCCATTCCCAGATAATCCCAGGGTCAGTGGCTCTTCAACTCCAGTAGCCTCACTGGGAGTAGTTGCCACTGCTGTGACTAGAGTAGGTGTTGACCAGATAAGGTGGGACAGGCTCTAGACTTAAGATATCATTGTACAACTCTTGCGGCCACTCAGGAAAGTCCCAGCAATTCAGAAAAGAGAGGCAGAGGGGGCAAGTGTGAGGGCAGGAAGGTGGTCTTCCACCAGGGTCAGCCTTTGCCTCCAAGGAGGCACTTCTATCAGTGGCAAAGAGGTTTTGGGAGTGTCAATTTAGATCCTAAATAACCCATCTAGTCATCACTTCCATGCTTCCTTCTGCTACCCCAGCATTTTCAACATAGTGGAAGATTGAACCCAATGCCAGAGCACACCATGGCATGATTTGCAGCTTGGATAGTATTGCTGGTCATGTGGGTATCCTCTTCATTTGCCCCCTGTGAGATATCACAGTGCATCCCTCTCAACCACATCTACCTTTCCCTCATTTACCCTCTTTATCTGCCCAGAACATGAGGATAGATCTCCTACTTTCAGACTGGGTATATTCCCAGCAGTGGCCTTCATTCCAAGTGGCACTCTGAGACCATATATTGATGGCCATTTGACTGGCTGGTGGCTCTTAGAAACAGTTGCAACTAATAGCTGTGCTGCAGCAGTGGTCGGTGGTGAGAATGGCCCGTTAAGGCGGTGCCGATGGCCTAGAGATTGGAGTGGTGCCTGCACCATTCTGGAGGTGGGACTTGGTACTCCAAGATATAGACTTATCTCTTGCTTACCTTTTGGCTCTGTTAAACCTTTTAATTCTGGTTTTTGTAACCAACTGGGCGCCTGTGAATGGCAACTTTGTGCACTTTTTGCTGTACTTAAGTATTACTTATTATTATACTTAGTACATGTGACAAATAAATAAATCTAAATCTCAAAAAATCTAAATCTCAACCCAATTCACCAACAATGGACTGGAAAACAAGATATGAGCATGATTGCCTTTGACTTTACACCAGGATGTCATGTCCTTCGGTAAAAATCCAGCTTGCAAACTGAAATCAGTGCCCTGTAAGGGTCTAGTGGAAGATGTGGAGGTGCCAGAGTTAGACTGGAGTGGACAATGTCAGAAATCACATGACACCAGGTTATAGTCCAACAGGTTTATTTGAAAACACCAGCTTTTGGAGCCTCAGTCCTTCTTCAGGTGAATAAACAACTTAACAGCCTCCTCCCACTACCACTGGGTACCCATGAGTGAAGAGCACTAAGATTACAGGTGCTCCAGTCAGACCTGGTGAAATTTACACACAGGGCACAAGGGCCACCTGCTATTTGGTCATGCTTGCCCATCGAGGAAACGTCCCTGTATTTCACATCTCCAACCTCCTCTACCCTATCAATCCTGGCTGTATATCCCATTGCCCTGAGCCTACCAACCTTGCATTAGTGACAGCCTGAATTACCTGTATGTTCTGCACAGCCTGCCTTCAAGACTATCTGCAGACAAAGCAGTGGTCAACACTCCTGCAGTAGGGAAGCTTGGTGCTGTGGTCCCATTACCGCAAAAGGACATGGGAGTCAGGTGATCTGGCTGTTGTTATAAGGGACCTTGGTGAGATCAGACTGGGAGTACTGCTGTCTGTCACACAATGCCAACATGTGGTTGGGTAGTTTGCTGCCACCTTCCTCCTTTTCTGACTGGGTCGAAAGTGGCAGAGAAAACCACGAGGCAGTTGTGTAACATATTGGCAACATCACACAATTAGCAATCTAAAACTCCAGGTTAATGTTCTGAGGACATGGGTTGGAGACCACACGATGAGCCAATTGAATACGAAATTGAAAGAAGTACAGGCAAGTCAGAGGGATGGGCGTGTGGAATGCGCTACCGGCAGTGGTAGTGGAGTCAGATACTTTAGAGACTTTTAAGCGGCTCTTGGATAGGCACATGGAGGATAGTAAAATGTAGGGTATGCAGGGTAGATTGATCTTTGTAGGATAATAGGTAGGCGCAACATCGTGGGCTGAAAGGCCTGTACTGTGCTGTACTGTTCTATGTTCTATGTTCTCCAAAAGTAGCATTTGGGGTGAGAAGAGAATGGATAATCCTGTTGTATCTTCTGCACTTACGCGGGACATTGTTGCAGGAAGGAGAAGGCATCATAGTGATCCTGGAGGGAATGGGCTCTTCCTATCTCTCCTAAGACCACCGTGTTCCTTATCTTGCCCGGCACCGGCCTCCGGTAAGTCAGAAACAAAAGCAGAAAATGCTGGAAAAGTTCAGCAGGCCTGGCAGCATTTATGGAGAGAAATCATAGTTAACATTTTGGGCCCAGTGATCCTTCGTCAGAACTGACGATAGCTAGGAAAATGTCAGTTTATATGCAGAAGGGTGGTTTTTCACACCATAACTCCATGGCTCCTTCCTCTGCAACCACAGAAGATGTAACACCTGTCCTTTTACTGTGTCCCCGCCTCAGTATTCAAGGGCTCAAACACACCTTCAGGTAAAGCACTTTTGACTGCATGCGCTGCTCAAAATGTAATCTCGTCTACATTCGGGAAACGATGTGTAGACTGTGTGACAGTTTCACAGAACATCTATGTTCCATCCACAAAAATGACCCTGAGCTTTCAATTGCCTGCCACTTCAGCATGCCATCCTGTTCCTTGGCCAACAGGCTTGCTGCAGTGACCTAGCAAAGCTCAGCGCAAGCTGGAAGAACAGCACCTCATTTTCCACTTGTGGACCCTGCAGCCTTCTGGACTTTCAATATACAGTTCAATAAATTTAGGGCTTGATCTCCCCACTGTCCTTGTCCCAACCCACACAACAGGCCTTGTTATCACACAGTTTACTATTACACACACTCCTTGTTAGCCACTAATTTTTTTTTTATTCATTTGCGAGATGTGGGTGTCGCTGACTGGCCAGCATTTATTGCCCGTTGTGAGTTGCCCTTGAGAAAGTGGTGGTAAGCCTTCTTATTGAACTGCTGCAATCTGCCTTTTTTGGATTGACCCACAATGCCATTAGCAAGGGAATTTCAGGATTTTGACCCAGCGGCAATGATATATTTCCAAATCACGATGGTGAGTGGCTTGGACAGGAACGTGAAGATGGTGGTATTCCCATACACCTGCTGTCCTTGTCCTTCTCGAAGGAAGTCGTTGTGCGTTAGGAAGGTGCTGTCTGAGAATCTTTGGTGAATTTCTGCCATGCGTCTTGTAGATAGAACACACTGCTGCAACTGAGCGTTGATGGTCCAGGGAGTGAAATCTTGGCTTGTGTCAATCAAACGGGTTGTTTTTTAATCAACTGGCTCAGACAGGCTGTGACACATATCCAGGGCATGCGTGACTTGAATTTGGGCCTCCTGGTTCAGAAGTTGGGATATCATCACAGATGTGTCTTCTTCCCAAAGGAAGAATAGGTTGACCATGTAAAGAGACACAACAGAGATTTAGACAAGACTGCCAGAAGAGAAAATTCTGCCTATGCTGGAAATCTGAACTAAAAACAGAAAGAGCAGGAAACACTCAGTTGTCGACAGCTGGCAGAGTTAATTAGCTTGGCTTGTGGGACAGTGAGGACTGAATTCTGAGAGAGTTCAATTAGAATGGGTCTGAACTTTCTGGAGCTTAAAAAACTGAGAGGTGAGCACTTTGAGATGTAGCCATCATTGAAATCTTGACAGTGTGCATGTCAAAAAGCTCCTTCCCCTGCCTGGAGAGTTACAGAACTGGCTGAGGAGTCTTTAGGCTGATGTGAGGGGAATTTTTTTCACGCAGAGGGTTGGTTAGCTTTTGGAATTCTCCAGCCCAGGGATTCAGGATGATGTGTCGATAAGTACATTCAATAACGAGGCCCCTAGGTCTTTGGTCACTAAGGGAATAGAGGGCACAGAGACTAGATTCAAAGAATGTTGTAAAGTGATGTGAAACTTCAGCTCTGATCTTGGTTAATGATAGAGCAGGCTCAATCTCGGATGTATTCTTTCTACTTCTTGTGTTTCGAACACTGATTAAAAATAAGTACAGGTGAAGATAAAAAGATATGAAAACACAGGAAAGGTGATATTTGGGGCATGATAGAGCATGACAATGATAAAACAAGCATAGGAACATTGATAATAGAGACTGGAGGTGGCTATTCAGCCCTCAAGCTTGCTCCACTATTCAATAAGGTCATGACTGAAAATCCATCCTGAGGTGATATTCACGTGCTTCCCCCTTATCTTTTGACATCATTACTCGTTAGAAATCCAACAATCTTTGTCCTAAACTTACTCAATGATCAAGTGTCCACAGACTCTGGGATACAGAATTCCAAAAATTTACCACCTTTTGAATGAAGAAATTGCTCTTCATCTCAGTCCTAAATAGATATACCTTATTCTGAGACTGTATCCCCTGGTTCTAGACCCCACAGGCATGGTAAACATTCTTTCTATATCTGCTCTGTCTATTCTCTTAAGAATTTTATACGTTTCTATGAGATCCTCTCTCATTCTTCTAAACTGCTGTGAACACAGGTTCAATCTCTTCAATCTCTTCTCATAGCACAGTCCCACCATTCCCTGATTCAGTCTGATAAACCTCCATTGCATAAATCCTGCCTATGTATATCCTTCCTTAGGCAGTGGACCAGAACTGTACACAATGCTCCAGATGTTGTCTTACCTATGTTCTTTACAATTGAAGCTACACAACCTCGCTACTGTGCTCAAATCCTCGTGATAAAAGCCAACGCATATTTACATCACAAATAGCTTGCTGCACCAACATGTTAGTTTACGAACAAGGACACCCAGGTCCCTTTGGATATGAACACTTTCCAATGTCAGTTCATTCAAGAAATATTCTGCATCTTCGTTCCTCTTTCCAAAAGTGGATAAGCTTACACGTGTCTACATTATATTCCATCTGCCATATCCTTCACCACTCATTCAGTCTCTCTAAACGCCTAATGTCTCTTTGCATCCTCTGTACAACTCACATTCCCACCAAGTTTTATATCATCTGCAAACTTAGAAATATTGTAATCGATCCCCACATCTTCACATTGATATAGATTGTGGACAGCTGGGGTCTGAGCACTGATCTTTGTGACACCTCTGGTCACACTCTGCAAACCGAAGAATTACCTATTTATTCCTACACTCTTCTTTCAATCCTCAATCCATTTCAGTTTATTATTCCCAATCCCACGTGTTTACCACCCTCTTGTTTGCTCATTATTTGAAGCCTTCTGAAAATTCAGTTACAGCAAATACGCTGGTGCCTCTGTACCTTTTCTGTTAGCTCCATCCTCAAAAAAACCCCAACAAGTTTGTCAAATATGATTTTCCTTTCATAAATCCACTTTGATTCTGCCCAATTATTACTTTTGAAGTGCCCTGTTAACATGTCCTTTACAATAGATTCTAGTACTTTCCTTCTCGTTGACATCAAACTGAAGTGTGTAGTTCCCAATTATCTCTCTCCTTTTTCTTCAATAGTGAAATTACATTTTCTCCCTTCCACTCCCCACAGGAACTGTTCTAGAGTCTATAGAATTTTGAAAGGTGACCATCCATAGCAACCTTTTTCAGTACTCTGGGATGGAGATCATCAAGTCTAAGGAATTTATCAATTTTCAATCACATCTCCAGTAGTACATTTTTACTTACACTAAATTCTTTCTGTTCCCCATTCTCACTAGTCTTTAGATCTCTAATATTTCTAGGAAATTTTTTTCTTTTGTCTTCTTTTAGTCAGCCCACATTTTTCTTTGCTAATCTTTTCCTTTTCACATAAGCATGGAAGCTATTACAGTCCATTTTATGTTTCTTGCTGTTTTCCCTTGTTTGTCAGTTTCTTGAAACAAGACAAAGAAGGAGAGAAGAAGAAACATATTGTGTGAGATGGACATAGAGAAAGAAAAGTTATGAAAATGACAAAGGGGGAAGAAAGGGAATGAGACAGTGAAGGAACGAAACAGGGAGGTGATGAGGTGGAAGAGAGTGTCAGGGAGTGTGAGGGATGTGAGTTGCTGAGTTGCTGTACTGTACTAACCGTGAGATGGAACGTTGTCCAGTGCGAAGTTTGACATTGCTGTTTTCAGGAAGGTTGGCAATCAGCTCATTATCACTGGATAGCTTCTTCTTTCTCCATTCTTCATCCTGCCTGGAAAGGAAAATGATTTTGTTTTGTGAGATTTTCTAGGACTATTGTCTCTTCAGGTAACTGGTACTTGACTGGGTCTATGTGCATTAGGCACAAATGTTGGAGAAAGCTTCAATGCAACAAACTCAAACTGCCTGCCTGGACCGTAGGGAGCTGGATTTTTTTTCCCTGCCTGCAGCACCAAACTCAACCTGCTGCCCTCATAAAGCCCAACTCTGAGAATCACATCCAATGACATCTCTTTCCAGCACCAGTGGCCAGCAAAGGGATAGAGGGAGAAATTGGTTTGATCCATGGGGAAATTCCAATGGACAGTCCTAGTCCACTTCTCCCAGTGAGGGTAAAAGAAGATTTGATGCAGCATGCTACAGTTGGAAGCTGCAACATTATATCTGAGATTTCCCTCATTCAGCTTGATGCCATGAGGGAGGGCAGGAGGGAGGACAGCCTGCAGTTTAGTCCAGAACAGGCAAGGATGAGTCAATGGTGAGGACAGGGGGTGCATTGGAACGGCACAGTGGAAGAGAAATCTAAGACGTAACAGGCTGGGTAGCAGCTATGGAGAAGTGAAGTGGGGACAGTTACTGAAGGCAATTAAAGAAGAGAGTCAGTGAAGCCCACATGAGGGGCCATCTCAGGGTATGGCTAGCATAATCCTTCCAGGGCTTTGAGTTACTTCCAACATATCGATATCTGCCACTAAGAGTGATCTTGTCAATGGGCTGGATTTTGAGCACCTTTGTGCAGGCATGCATGGATGAACAACACCTTGCCTTTGAGAGTCATACCCAAAAAACAGCAATTAATGTCTATTGTAAGGGGTCTCAGCCAATGGGATTCCTCATGTTGTCCTGCTTGGTGGAGAATTGTGGAGAACCTTGAAACATTTTGGCTTTCTCCCTGTAACTCTTCACATTCTTCCTTTTCTGATAATGATCCAATTCTCTCATGAAGGTCTCAATTCAAATAAACTCCACAGCATTCTCAGGCACCATATTCCAGATCATGATCATACTCACTGCATGAAAACATTTCTCCTCATGTTACCATTGCTGCTTCTGATAAAATACCTTAAATCTGTGCTCTTTGCTTCACTATCCTTCCATTGAGAACAGATTCTCCCTACCTACTCTGTGCTTATAAATAGCTCAATCAAATGACGTCTCTGTCTTCTCTTCAAAGAAGACAGCCCAAACTTTGTCAATCTGTCTTCAAAACTGAAATTCCTCATTCCTGAGACCATTCTCCTAAATCTTGGCTACATTCTCTCTCTAATGTCTTCACATCCTTCCTAGAGTGGGGTTCCCAGAGCTAAGTGTGATGCTTAGCCTGAACCAGTATTCTGTACAGGTTTCACATAAACACTTTGCTCTTGTACGCCATGTCCCTATATCAAGACGATAGGACTTATTAGTTGTTGTGTTACTTATACTGACTTAGAAACATAAAGACCCAGGTTCCTCTGATGCAGCACCCCTTTACAATTGGACCCTTAATTAAAGTCTCGCTGCCTCCTTCCTACCAAATTGATTCCTTTTGCACTTCTCTGCATTAAACTCCACTGTGCACATACTGACATGGTGGGTGAAGAAAGGTGCCAAAGCCCTTAAATGAAAAGGGAGATCAGGAACATGATGCTAAGGGATGGATGATCGATGTCAGGGGAATTCCTCAAGTCAACGCCAAGCTAAATACAATGGGGTGGGGGGGGGTGCGTGGTGGAAATAGGACTTTTGGATTGGGGGGATAGGAATATGAGAGTCAAATGGTAGCTAACTGAAAAGGGAGCCCAAAAGTTTCCACCAGTATGTGAATGCTATGTAAGAGTGGCAGGGGTGAGTGGGAAGAACGTGTGATGGAAAATGAGAGTGATGGGCTATAGTAGAGTCCTTTAATAATTACTTATTACTTGTGTTTAGTAAGGAAGAGGATGCCGACAGTATCTTAGTGGAAGTGGAGATGGTCATAGAAGTGGAGGAGGTGAACACTGTCCATCAGGATGCCTTGGAAAAGAATGGTTAGGTTGCTAGGCTGACTTCAACCCCAAGTTGCTAAGCAAAGTTGGGGTGGAGAGAACAGACAGGCTTATCATAATGTTCCCAGTCTTCTCTAGATAAGTATCAAAAGATTGTCAAATGGAGAAATGAAGAAACTGTGTAAGGACTCTGTCAGTAACTACAAGCTGGTCAGTTTCTCCTCAGCAGTGGATCAAATTTCAGAAATGGTCATCAGAGAAATACTGAACAGCCTTTTGGACAGATTTCATTTAATAAGGAAAGCCAGTAGAGATTTGTAAAAGTCAGATCATTCTTAAAAATCTAAATTTTCTGAAGAATAGGAGACAAGTTGATAAAGGCAAATTGATGAAGACTGTCCATATGGATTTTGGCTAAGTCCCATATAAAAGGCTGGTTAAGGCTCAGTGATTAGGAGGGTCTGTACTAACTAGGATAAATACAAATTGCCTTAAAGATGCAGAAAACCAGGGTAACTGGCTATTAGACTGGACAATGGTGGACTCTAATATTCTCCATGAGTCAGTGCAAGGATCACTGTTTTTGATATTTGAATGCAGTGTCAAAATTAGTCATTCATACCAAACAAGGATGTATTTCTAACAGTTATGATGATATTATTCAACTACAATAGGCCAGGGAGAGGCTAGCAGAAAAGTAGGATATGGACTTTCACACAGAAAAGTGTTAGATGGTGCATTTTAGTTGAGGGGATAGGGTGAAGTGATAAAGATTGAATGGCACAGTTCTAAAAGTGCGCAGGGGCAGAGGAGCACTTTGAAAATGGCAGGACACATTGTGTGAGAGGAGTTAGTGAAGCTCTTGGGCTTGATAAACAGATATTCAACAAAAGGCCAGGAAGTTATACTAAATTTCAATAAAGCTCTGGTTATTGTGTCCTGTTCTGGTCATGACACTTTAGGAAGGATGTGAGGGTTTTTGAGAGAATACAGAGATTCACCAAAATAGTCCCAGGGATGAGACAGCTTAGCTACAAGGCTAGAAGCTGGGATATATTCAATTCCTTTCCCCTTTTTGGGCAGAACCTTTGACCTCAGTGCCCAAGATACACCCTTTCTCATCATTGAACACAAAGAGATTGGAGGTTGGCATTGACATAGCCTGCCAATGGGCCTTGTGATTGGTGTCCTACCTGAAAGTGATGAGGTTGGAGTAAATTGCGGGCCAGAGAAGAAGGCAGAGCAGCACCTGCCATGTGTTGGTGTCAACAGAGAGCTCACCCCACCAGATCTTAGTCAGCAGTGCCTGCAGGAGAAGGCAAAAGAAGGCAAGTATGAATGGAATGTGTTTGGAGCAAAATGCAATCTCATACAAAAATGCTTCATACTTATGTGACCTCTGTGAAGAGGAACTCATGTTGCAGGCAGCCACTTCACTACAAACTCTATATTTGGACCAAACTGCTGCCTTATGATCACAGAACAAGGATATAAACAATGATCCACTGCCAGCTGGCAATGCTTTCCTGCAACAGCTGGAGTGGTTAGAGGCTAGGCCATGCAAACTGTGCCAACAAGGGCCAGCGCCACATAAACCAACTGCCAATCAGGAACTGCTGAAGGAAGCAAAAAGAGAAGAATGACAATCTTGCATTTTAATTTTGCCCTCATAATTCTCTGGATTTAGGGGACACTCTTTTCAAATGGAAAGTTACTCACATCTGTTCATTATCTGAGAAGTTGGCGATTAGAGATCCAGCATGAGTCAGCATTGTAAAGCAGTACAGTTGAAGTGAAGCTAATGTTATTATACAGGCAATACTGATAGATTAGACAAATGTGGAGTCATTCAGATTGGTCCCAAAGAGGATACAACACAGTACATTGGTGATCCAGGTGTACAGATAAGTAAAGTGTTATGAGCAAGTACAAGAATCATCAGAAAACTGAATGGATTGTTGGCCTTTGTGCTGGAGAACACCAGAATAGAAATTTGTAGGAGTCATGCTTTAACTGTACAAAGTGCTGCTTTAACCATATCTTGACTTGTTCTGGTGTGCAGTACTGGGTACTGCTTTGTAACCTGGGACAGAGTCATTAAGATTTATCAAAACAATACTTTGACGCGATTGTTTAAATCACAGGAGATTACTCAAACTAAGGCTGTAAACACAGAACTGTAAAAGGGTAGGAGGTAATTAATCTAAATTTTTAAGGTATTGAGAGTGACAAAAATGCTTTGATAGCAAAAAACCATTTCTTATACTTGGAATGTCAAGTTTCTGGAATATAATCGCAAAATTATAATTGCAGGAGTGAAAGTAGTAAATACTAGGAAACATGAAATTGCTGCCAGATTCAATACTCATTTTACAAGAGAGTTGACTACAGTTTTGTTAACTGAAGGTATTAGAAACAGTATAGTATATGGAGTTAGGCCACTGACTAGCCATGATTTCAGTGAATAGCCTCCTTCTGCTCCAAAGCTGTGGTTCAGTTGGTAGCACTCTCATCTCTGAGTGATAAGGCTTTAGGTTCAAGTCTTATTCCACCCTTGAACAGAAAACCCAAGGTCAATGAAGTCCTGAGGGTCTGCTGTACATGCTGTCTTTTGGATGAATTGATAAATCTTCTTTTTTTAATTCATGGAATGAAGGCATCACTGGCTAGGCCAGCATTTATTTCCATCCCTGGGGACAGATAAGAGTCAACCACATTGCTGTGGGTCTGAAGTCATTGGTCAGTGAATGCGGCAGTTTCCTTTCATAACGGGCATTGGTGAACCAGATATGTTTTTACTGACAATAACAGTGGTCATCATTTGAATCTTAATTCAAGATTTTCAGCCTTGGCAGGATTTGAACCCAGGTCTCTGGAGCATTATCTGGATCTCTGGATTAACAGTCCAGCAATAACACCATTAGGCTATCCCCTCCCCTTTGTTTCCATTTGCCACCTCTGGTTGGTGTAAAAAAATTCCATGGTACAATTCTTGGGAACAATTTGTCCCTGGTGCCCTGGCTAAGATTTACCCCTAATCAGCAATACGAAGACAGTGGATGCTGCATAATGTTGCTCATGGGTTCTTGCTGATTACAGGCCTGGCTCTAATTTTTCCCACAGTACAACAAGAACTACACCACTACTCTCTCCGGGACTCCCTTGTCCACTATACACTCTCCTCCAGCCCCACCACACCCGGCACTTTTCCCTGCAACCGCAGGAAGTGCTACACCTGCCCCTACACCTCCCCCCTCACCCCCAACCCAGGCCCCAAGAAGACTTTCCACATCAAGCAGATGTTCACCTGCACATCTGCAAATGTGGTATACTGTATCCACTGTTCCCGTTGTGGCCTCCTCTACATCGGGGAAACCAAGCGGAGGCTTGGGGACTGCTTTGCAGAACACCTACACTCGGTTCGCACTAAACAACTGCACCTCCCAGTCGCAAACCATTTCAACTCCCCCTCCCATTCCTCAGACGAGATCTCCACCCTGGGCCTCCTGCAGTGCCACAATGATGCCACCCGAAGGTTGCAGGAACAGCACCTCTTATTCCGCTTGGGAACCCTGCAGCCCAATGGTATCAATGTGGACTTCACAAGCTTCAAAATCTCTCCTCCCTCTACCGCATCCCAAAACCAGCCCTGCTTGTCCCCGCCTCCCTAACCTGTCCTTCCTCCCAACTATCCCCTCCTCCCACCTCAAGCCCCATCCCCATCACCTTTCTACTAGCCGCATCCCGCCCCCTAGACCTGTCCGTCCTCCACGGACTGACCTATCTCCTCCCTAACTCCCCACCTACACTCACCTTTACTGGCTCCATCCCAGCCTCTTAGACCTGTCTGTCTCCCCTCCACCTATCTTCTCCTCTATCCATCTTTTATCCGCCTCCCCCTCTCTCCCTATTTATTTCAGAACCCCCTTCCCCTTCCCCATTTCTGAAGAAGGATCTAGGCCTGAAACGTCAGCCTTCCTGCTCCTCTGATGCTGCTTGGCCTGCTCTACACCTTGGTATCTCAGATTCTCCAGCATCTGCAGTTCCTACTATCTCTTCCAAAGTACTTCATTGGTTGTAAGGCATTTTGTGATATCTGGTGGTTGTGGAAAGTGCTATGTAAATGCAAGCTCCTAACGAAAGGAGATGTGAGGCAGAGTGGAATTTTAGATGAAATTACATTGGGCTGGAAAGTGAAAATGGTTGTAAAATAAGAGGAGGTAATTCAGTTAATCCAGAGACCCAGATAATGCACTGGACAATGAGGCATCCAGTTAATCCCACTCCCTGCTCAGCCCTCAAGCACTTCATCCCAGTTACCAACTTCCCAAACCAGGCTGGAGTCAGACCTGAACACCTCCAAGTGCCATGAACTTCTGGCTTTCAGCTTCTAATGCCAGACGCAAGCAAGTTGTATTCCCCCAGGTTCTCGATACCCGAATTAGCAGCTTCTGTGCTCGCTTGGTGTGTTTCCTATAACACTCTGTGAATAACCCTTTTGTTAAAGAGACAACAATTAAAATTGACACAGAAAAAAAATTACAATTGCCCAGAAATGGTAAATCAGATTATAGTTATGAGAGAGTATTAAACCATGTCAATAGTGTTTCACAGTGAATGGCCATGCTGGACCCTTTAAGACAACAAAGCTGTACAGTCTGCACTGCACTGCACAACTTGAACTTTGACATTTTTATGTTCCTTTTTTGAAAAATCTATCCTCAGAATGTAACTGGCACCAGAAAGCCAACATGTACTGTCCATCAGCAGTTGTGCTGAGAAGAGACGGGTTGGATTCTTTTGTTGAGCCATTGATAAGCACTTTGTTATAGCTCTCAGAGGCCGAATAACACTCCAGAACATCTCTGCAGGAGATGTTAGTGTCCTAGGCCCAACCGTCTTCAGCTGCTTCATTCAATGATCTTCCTTCCATCATAAGTGGAAGTGGAATTGTTCACTGATGGTTGCACAATGTTCAGCACAATTCACGACTCCTTGGATGATGAAGCAGTCCATGTCCAAATGCCGCAAGAGCCGGACAGTATCCAGGCTCGGACTGACAAGTGACAAGTAACATTTACTCCACACAAATGCCAGGCAATAACATTTCTAGCAAAAGAGAATCTAACAATCAATCCTTAACATTCAATCACCACTATCAACAACATTGGGGCTTCCTTTAACGAGAAACTGAACTTGAATGACCATATAAATACAAAAGCTTCAAGAGCAGATTCAGAGGCTATGAATCTTTCATTGAATAACTCACCTGCTGACTCCACAAAGTCTGTCCACCATCTACAAGGCACAAGTCACGAATGTGTTAGAATATTCCTCACTTGCCTGGATGAGTGCACTCAAGAGGCTTGGTACCATTCAGGACAAAGCAGCCCGTTGGATTGACAACATATCAATCACCATCAACACTCAGACCCTTCACTATCAGTGAACTATCTAACAAGATGCACTGCAGGAATTCACCAAAGATCACTAGACAGCACCTTCCAGACCCACGACCACTTCCATCTAGAAAGACAAAGGCAGCAGATGCATGGCAACATCACCACCTGCAAGTTCCCCTCCAAGCTACTCACCATCCTGACTTGGAGATATATCAACATTCCTTCAGTGTCACTGTGTCAAAATACTGGATTCCCTCCCTAATGACATTGTGGGTCTACCTGCAGCACATGGACTGCAGCAGTTCAAGAAGGCAGCTCAACACCACTTTCTCAAGGGCAACTAGGGATGGGTAATAAATGCTTGCCCAGAGACTGATGCCTACATCCCATGACTGAATTTCAACACTAATTGTGAAATCTTGTCTCCTGTATCTCCCATCATAAGACCAGCATTCTATTCATGGTCTTTTATTCTGGTGAATTCAGCATCTCTCCAAATTCTGATTTCTGTCCAGACAATCCAGAGCTCCCATGACCAATGAGATCCTCAAACTCAAGACACAGGAGCACACACCATCCCATTTTACCAAACAACATCCTCCAATTCCCCATCAGTTGGTAAGGAAGGTTTTATAGAGTCTACAGTTACGGCCCATCGAGTCTGCACCAACCTTCCAAAGAACATCCCACCCAGACCCAGCCCTGCACCCTATCTCCATAACCCAATATGGCTAACCCACCTAGCCTGTGCATCCTTGGATGCTATGGGCAATTTAGCATGGCCAAGCCACTTAACTTGCATATCTTTGGGCTGTGGAAGTAAACCAGAGCACCTGGCAGAAACACACGCAGACATGGAGAGAATGTGCAAACTCCACACAGAGAGTTATCCAAGGAGCAGAACCAATGTCTCTGGCACTGTGATGCAGCAGTACTAACTACTGAGCCACAGTGCCGCTCTTCTTTCCTTCAACTCTTAGATTTAATCATTCTATGATTCTTTCATATTATCCAAGGAAGGAGCACAAAAATAAAACATCTAGAGTGGAGGAAACTGTGCCTTGTGTGGCCAGATTCCACATGGAATGTGCTCAGAAGCTATGAGTAGCCTGTCCTCAAGACAGATATCGAAACCACCTTAGGCTCCAGCCTACCGACAGCTCGATCCTCGTATTCCTGGGCCAGTTCTTCCATTTCCTCAGACAGGTCTGTGTCATTCTCCTCACAGGACATCTTCTTCAGGATCTTACAGGCAACCAGTGAAGCATCAATGCTGTCCATTGCCTGGCAAAAACACAACAGTGATCTTTAGGAGACTAATCAAAATTGTTACATCGATAAAAACAGCCATGTAGTTTTCTTTACCAACACAGGGTGATCTCTGTGGTGAAGATCAGGCCATGGACATTAATCTCTCATGGGCTAGTCCTGCTCTGTTCCTGTAATGTTGGCTAATGTTTGGTAGAGATACCCTATGATGGATGGGACCAAGGGCTAAAGCCAGAAACAGCCCAAGAGATCTGATCTCCTGCTGCTCAGGGAAGGTGAAAGAGACGGTCGAGCAGGGGCTTTGGAGGGTTGCTGGAGCTGGTCATCTGTCCATCCTGCCACTGCAGCCGAAGGGAGGAAAGTGGAGGAATTCTGGGACAAAAAGTTCTCCTGTCCTTCTTCTTCCCCACCTGATTGGCTTCAATAAACATATCTGGCCAGTGACAACATCAGCATCTCTAATTGCCCTTGAACTGAGCAGCTTTTTAGGGCTATTTCAGAGAGCATTTCAGAGATGACCCCATTACTCTGGTCTGGAGTCATCTGTAAACATGGAGGCAATGGCTAGTGGTATTATCGTTAAACTATTAATCTAGATACCCAGTTAATGTCCTGGGCACCGTGGTTCAAATCCTGCTATGGCTGATGGTGGAACTTGATTCAATAAAAATCTGGGATTTGGAGTCTTAAGTCATAGTCTGAAATCAATCTCAAGCCAGTCCACTATCCTGATCTTCAGGAAGTGTCAGGGTCTTTAGGTAAGAAAAATGACAGAAGGTGCGGGGTGGTGGTGAAGATAGTTCTTAAAAGCTGGAACCTGAATGTTGTGTTTCTTGTTGGAATGGCCCATACCTGCACCCAAAAAATCGATGCCAGATCTTTGCGTTTCTGCAAAATGGCCCAGATGAAAAGGTCACGCTCTGGATTCTCAACTTCCTGCTCACAGATCCCACTCTCCTGGGAGTAAGTTTGCTGCATCTCCTGGGGACTTGATGGCAGGATCTAGGAACAAAACAATAAAAGCTTTGTAGCAGGTTCAAGGTTCATCTGCATCTTCCAAAAGAATGCCCATCACAGCAGAACTTTAAGAATATCTGGAACAGGAACAGGAGGAAGCCACTCAGCCCTTTGAGACAGCTCCAGGATTCAAAGTGTGATTACAGCTAATCCTCTGTCTCAACTCTACTTTTGTTGTCCACACCCTTCTCCCATTTCCTTGATTCTCTTAGAGGCCTATCCTAGTCTTAGATACATTCAACAATGGAGAAACTGGAGTGCAATACAGGAATGTGCAAAGTTGCCAATTTTAACAAGAAGAATTAAAAAACGAAGCAAAATGGTGAGAGTTTGCAGCGCTCTGAGATGCAGAGAGATTTGGGTGTCCTAGTGCATGAATGATAGAAGGTTAGAATGCAGGTACAGCAAGTAATCTGAAAAATTAGTATGGTTTATTGTGAGGAGAGTCAAATACCAGAGTAAGGAGGTTATGTCTCAGTTACATAGGACATTGGTGAGACTGCATCTGCAGTACTGTGGTCACTGTACTTAAGAAATGATGTTAATGCAATGGAAGCAGCTCAGACAAAATTTACTAGAATAATGCCTGGAAGGAGTGGATTACCTTATGAGGAAAGGCTAGGCAGGCTAGGCATGTATCCTTTGGCATTTAGAAGAGTCAGAGGTGACTTAATTGAAACATATGAGATCACAATGAACTTGAACGGGTGAATGTGGAAAGGGTATTTCCGTTTTTGAGAGAATCTAGAACTAAGGGTCATCATTTTAAAATTGTGGGGTGTCTATTTGAAACAGAGATGTTGAAACTCTTTCTCTCTCAGAGAGTTGAGAGTCTTTGAAATGTCCTTCCTTAAAAATGGGTGGAAGCAGAATCTTTAAATATTGTTAAGGTACAGGTAGATAGATTTTTAATTACCAACGTAATGAAAGTTTATTGGAGATGTGCAGGAATACAGAGTTGAGGTTAAAATCATATCAGCCACAATCATATTGAATGGTGGAACAAGCTCGAAGGGCTGACTGGCCTACTGTTGCTGCTTGTTTGTATGTAGCATTGACAACCTTCAGGGTTGGGAACACCAAAAATTCATAATCCTCCAAGAGAATAAATTTCTCCTTGTTCCTGAATGATCAGTACCTTTACCCTGACGTACCCCAGTATTCTAAATTCCCCAGCCACAGGGAAAGAACCACTCAGTGACTACCCTGTTACTCCTCAATAGAATCTGGAATCTTTCAATGGAATCATTTCTCATTCCTCTAAACTCCAGAGAAAACTGACATAATTTATTCACTTCCGTCTCAGGACCATCCCCTCATCCCAGGAACCAATCTAGTGAACCCTCGCTGTACCATCTCTCATGGAAGTCTCTCCTTCCTTAAAAATGAAACCAAACCTGCATGCAGTATTCCTGATGTGGTCCAATCAAAACCCCACGTATTTGTAGCAAGACTTCTTTAATTCTGTACACCACCCTCTTTGACTAAAGGCCAACATGTTATTTGCTTTCCCAATCTGTACATGTATGATGATTGTGTCCCTTGGATGAATACACCTCTTGAGACCTTTTGAATATCAATATGCTGAAGTTTCATACTTTTTCAAAAAGAACCTGCTTTTCTGTTCTTTCGGCTAAACTGAATAATCTCCCACCCTTGCAAAATTTTATGTTATCTTCCAAGGTGTTCCCAGAGTTAACCAGTTCATATCTTTGTGCAGTCTCTCTGTGTGTTCCTCGCAGCTTCCATTCCTATCTAGCTTTGTATCATTAGCCATTACAACTCCGGTTGTCTTCAGCTAACATTGATGTGACTAGTTGAGGCCCCAGCATTGTCCAATGCAGAAGTTAACAATAATTAAAGCATCAATTTCTGAACACATCACTTTTTCAGTGCTTGCCCAGGTCATCATGTAGTATCAAGGTGTCTTGATGTACCATTTGGCCATTGACAGAAGTTTAGTGACCTTTCCCACTAATCTGAGTAGTTCATAGAATTAAAACAATGAAGCTATTTTGCACATTTGGTCAGTATGGATTCTTTGAAAGAGATTAGTCCCATTTCTCACTTGGCTTTCCAGGAAATGATGGCATTATACTATCTTGCAGGCTGTTAAATAGTGAGAAGTTCTGGCACTTCCTAATACGATATTGAACTGATGCTGTCAAAATGGCTGGAAAAGGTCAGTCAGCACCAATCCAAAGAAGAGCTGAGTTCTTGCTGCACGCTGAAGCAATAGTTATCACTAAATCAATAACTGTAACATGATCTGCTCACTCTCACACTGTTGTTTGCAGAAGCATCCAATCCCAACTCTATATTCACTCTCCAGAGTAATTAATCAAAGTTCTTCACTCATCCTGCAGAACAACCAATTCCAACTCTTTACACACTCCCCAAGTAACTAATCCCTACTCTTCACTCACGCTCCTGAATAACCAATACCCAACTCCTCAACATATATAACCACAAGCCAGCTCCTCACTACAGCAAGATCACAGTCTCTTGAATCCCCTCACACTCTACTCTCAGATCACAGTGTCCCCATTCCCCTCAGCATCTATTCCCAGGCCACAGTCTCCAGAATTCCCTCGGTGTCTATTCCCAGATCATGGTCTCCTGGTTCCCCTCAGTGTGAGCCTATTCAATAATGGGCCTCTCTGATAAGCCATGATGTTTGCCCCATGTCACTGCAGCATGGAGATCTAGTCAAAGCCTGAATTGGAATGCACTGAACCGATGATCTCATACACTTGCAAGCAAATTTTAATGATCAAACAGACAGTGCTGTGCTCAGAATCCCCTCTTGGTTCAGCTGTCACAAACACTTTTGTCAGTTTTCAATTTAACAATCCCTGGTCTCCTACAAAACTACTGAGAGAACTGCAGATGCTAGAAATCTGAAACAATAACTGGAATTCCTGGAAAATCTCAGCAGGTCTGGCACCATGTGTGGAGAGAAATCAGAGTTAATGTTTTGCATCCAGTGAAGGGTTCTGAAGAAGGGTCACTGGACCCAAAATATTAACTCTGATTTCTCTCTACAGACGCTCCAGACCTGCTGAATTTCTCTGGCTATTTCTGTTTTTGCCTTAAATTTGCAGCATCCAGAGTTCTTTGTTTTATTTTGGCGGATGAGATTGTGGCTTGTTTAGATAAGGTGGTCAAAGAAAAACTGTTCCCATTGGATGATAGTACAAGGGCTAGAGAAAACAACTGAAGTCTTTACCAGGAGGTGGGATGGGATTTGAGGAGGGAATTGAGGAGTGTGAGGAATAACCTTTGACCTGCAACACTGCCAATGAGCAGAACTGAAGTGGAGATGATGAATGGTTTAAAAAAAAAATGGATTGCTCTAGTAATCCAATGTGGTTCTCATGGGCTCAGTGGTCTCTACTTGTGCTATGCTGACTCTGTGTTGTTGACTTTAGTCCTGAATTGAGGAGTTTAAATCCTGTCCCTGGCATTAAGCAGCAGTTTCTGTTCCTCTGATTTCACTTGGAGAACCAAGCTCCCTATCCAATTGTGCCTTTACTCCTGGCGAGTTGCCAATCTCGGCAATGAATGGTTTAGTGGCAGGAAGGTAGAAGGAAAAGGCTCCTCCCTGATAAGTGTTAGGGGTTTGGGTTTCATTTTCATCCTAATTCCAGATATTTATTGAATGAGAATCCTGTGAGAAGCCCTATAACTGTCATTGTTCAATCTATTACTCAGTCTGACTGGGTTCAACCACAGTACTGTAAGGTCCTCACTTCAAAGTCAGCCTAGTTGCATCCAGAAACAGTCTGCTGGGTCTATGACAGAGCCAGTATAAATACAAACATCACCCTGTCCTGGAGCACCTTGTTATCCTGCATACTCCAATAATTGACATGAATGAAAGGTTCAGACAATTGGTAAAGATTGAAGGGAGAGTTGATGATGCTGACTTGGCTTGTGAGCTGACACCTTGGCATTTGGACTGATTGCGACTCAAGTATGATGTGAAGAAGGCGTTTGGTATGCTTGTCTTTCTTGGTCAGTGCATGGAGTTTTGGAGTTGGGAGGTCTTGTTGCAACTGTACAGTACATTGGTTAGGTCACTATTGGAATACTGTATTCAATTCTGGTCTCCTTCTATAGGAAGAATGTTGTGAAACTTGAAAGGGCTCAGAAAAGATTTACAAGGATGTTGCCAGGATTGGAGGGTTTGAGCTATAGAGAGAGGCTGAAGAGACTGGGGCTATTTTCCCTGGAGTGTCAGAGGCTGAGGGGTGACCTTATAAAGGTTTATAAAATCACAAGTGGCATGGATAGAATGAATAGGCCAGCTCTTTTCCCTGAGGTGGGGAGTCCAAAACTAGAGGGTACAGTTTTAACGTGAGAGGGGAAAGATTTAAAAGGGATCTAAGGAGCAATTTGTTCACAGAGGGGATGGTGCGTGTATGGAATGAGCTGGCATAGGAAGTGGTGGAGGCTGGTACAATTACAACACTTAAAAGACATCTGGATGGGAATATGAATAGGAAGGGTTTAGAGGGATATGGGCCAAATGCTGACAAATGGGACTAGATTAATTTAGCATATCTGGTCGGCATGAATGAGTTGGGCCAAAGGGCCTGTTGCCCTGCTGTATATCTCTTTGACTCTAAGTATGTGTTATTGTTTGAAGAATTTGAGCTGTGCAACTGCCTTGGCTCTCACTCCTGCACTTGCTGCTAGACCTGTCTAGTTGGGACTTGTCCAGTTTGAATTACGTTGTTGGTGATGAAAGGAAACACATTTCATGCTCACATTTGCTCCCACGGACGTTCACTTTACCATACAGAATGTGGATGTGAGCCAGTCTTGCTGCTCTTTTGTAACAGTGAGTGAGCAGGGAATGTTTCCATGGTAATATGAGGGATTACATGCATTGCTGCTTATAGATGCCAGTCTTCTGACTAGCTTTCTAACAGGAGGGAGAAATGGAGCTGAACCAGTGAGCAACATCCTACACTCTGTTCATGGTCTACCCTCTCACGCATTCTGTCTGCTGTTTGGCTATCAGTGAACCCTATTCACCGTCCCTGGTGAAGAGATTGACACTTGCACTGGCCCTCATGACTGCCTGCAGAGGGGTTGGGGTTCACCCTGAAGCAGCATTGGGAATGAGGGGCTTGTCATGACTTTCCTCCCCATTCCTCTTTCAAAAATCCCTGTTTTAGTCAAGATCTGCAACAGAAGTTCCAGTTTCTCTTGTCAGCCCTGTTTAGCCTCATTTCACTGCTCAGACCCATCCTGAATTGCATAGATGGCAGCTAAGTGTTAACCACATTGTTGTGGGTCTGGATCATATGTACGCCAGACTAGGTAAGGAAGGCAGTTTCCTTCCTTAAAGGACATTGGTGAACCAGATGGGTTTTTCAGACAATTGGCAATGGTTTCATGGTCATCCTAATTCCAGATTTTTATTGAATGAGAATCCTGTGGGAAGTCCTATAACTGTCATTTTTCAAACTATTACTCAATGGGTCAGGGTTCAACCACAATCCTGTAAGGGCCTCACTTCAAAGTCAGCCCAGTTGTATCCGAAACAATCAGCTCTGTCTGCTGGGTCTATGACAGAGCCAGCATCAAAACAAACAGTGCCCATGTCTTGGAAGTGTTTGATGGGACAGTATAGAGGAAATGTTACTTTGTATCTAATCCCAAGCTGTCCCTACTGCATGTTGTTTAACAGCTACAGTTTCGAAGAAGCTTTACTTTGTATCTAACCCCATGCCGTGCTTGTCCTAGATGTGTTGGTGGGAACAGTGTAAAGGAAGCTTATCTCTGCATCTAACCCTGTCCTGATTACATTTGATGGGGACAGTAGAGATGGAGCTTTATTCTTTATCTAACCCTTTGCTGTCCCTGCCCTGGGAGTAACAAAAACAAAAATTGCTGAAAAAACTCCGCACCTGTGGAGAGAAGTCAGGTTTTGTGTTTTGGGTCCAGTGATCCTTCCTAAGAACTCTACTCTAAAAGAGTAGAAAGAGCACCTTTACTCTGTTTCTAACCCTGGGTTAGACTTGTCCTGGAAATTTCAATGGGAATAGTTTCACTTTCTGTTTAAAAGAGTAGACAGAGCTCAAATTTCAGGTTAAGAGAAGGGGAAGTTTTACTATGTATCCAACTCTGTTCTGTACATATTCTGGGAGTGTTTGATGGGGACAGTGTTAAGGAAACCTTACTCTGTGTCTAACCATGACATGTTCCTGTCCTAGATGTGTTTGATGGGGACAGTGTATAGGTAGATTTATAGAATCATAGAATCCCCACAGTGTGGAAACAGGTCTTTCAGCCCAACAAGTCCATTCCAACCCTTGGAGCATCCCACCCAGACCCTTCCCCCTAGAACCCACCTAAGCTACACATCCCTGAACACTACAGGCAATTTAGCATAGCCAATCCACCTAACCTGCACAGATTTGGACTGTGGGAGGAAACCGGAGCACCCAGAGAAAACCCAAGCAGACACGGGGAAAACGTGCAAACTCCACACAGGCAGTCACCTGAGGGTGGAATTGAACCTGGGTCCCTGGCACTGTGAGGCAGCAGTGCTTAGCATTGAGCCACCGTGTGGCTTACAGTTACTTACACCGTTACTTACAGTTTGAAAGAGTACATAGAACATAGAACATAGAACAGTACAGCACAGCACAGGCCCTTCGGCCACGATGTTGTGCCGAACTTTTACCCTAAACCTAATGTCTATTAACCTCGACCCTGACCTTATACTATCATCCATATGCCAATCTAATAGCTGCTTAAATGCTCCTAATGAGGCCAACTCTACTACCCGCTCCAGCAATGCATTCCATACCCCTACCACTCTCTGAGTAAAGAACCTATCTCTGATGTCTCCCCGATATCTACCTCCATTTACTTTAAAACTATACCCCCTCGTAATAGCTACCTCCCACCCTAGGAAAAAGTCTCTGGCTGTTCACTCTATCTATACCTCTGATCATTTTGTACACCTCTATCAAGTCACCTCTCATCCTTCATCGTTCTAAAGAGAAAAGCCCTAGCTCTGTCAACCTTTCCTCGTAAGACCTTCCCTCCATTCCAGGCAACATCCTGGTAAATCTCCTCTGCACCTTTTCCAATGCTTCCACATCTTTCTTGTAATGAGGCAACCAGAACTGGACACAATACTCCAGATGTGGCCGAACCATGGTTTTGTACAGCTAGAGCATAACTTCACGGCTCTTGAACTCAATCCCTCTATTAATGAGAGCTAACACACCATATACCTTTTTAACAATTCTATCCACCTGGGTGGCAGCTTTCAGGGAACTGTGGACATGAACCCCGAAATCCCTCTGCTCCTCCACACTGCCAAGAATCTTTCCGTTAACCCTGCATTCTGCTTTCAAGTTTGTCCTTCCAAAATGAATCATCTCACACTTTTCAGGGTTAAACTCCATCTGCCACTTCTCAGCCCAGCTCTGCATCCTATCAATGTCCCTTTGTAACCTAGAACAGCCCTTCGCACTATCCATAACTCAACCCACCTTCGTATCATCCGTGAAGTTACTAATCCACCCTTCCACTTCTACATCCAAATCATTTACAAAAATCACAAATAGAAGAGGACCGAGAACAGATCCTTGTGGTACACCACTCGTAACTGTTGAATATTTTCCGTCTACTACCACTCTTTGTCTTTTAAGGGTCAGCCGATTCTGAATCCAATCTGCCACATTTCCCCCTATTCCATGCCTCCTTACTTTCTGCATGAGCCTACCATAGGGAACCTTATCAAACACCTTACTTAAATCCATGTATACCACATCCACTGCCCTACCTTCATCCATGTGTTTGGTCGCCTCTTCAAAGAATTCAATAAAGTTTGTGAGGCATGATCTACTCCTCACAAATCCATGTTGACTATCATGAATCAAACTGTGCCTATCCAAGTGATCATAAATCCTATCTCTCAGAGCCCTTTCCAATAATTTGCCCACCACTGAAGTAAGACTAACTGGCCTGTAATTTCTGGGGTTATCCCTATTCCCTTTTTTGAACAAGGGAATTACGTTTGCCACTCTCCAATCTTCCGGCACTATACCCGTGGACAATGAGGATGAAAAGATCATCGCCAAAGGCCTTGCGATCTCTTCCCTCGCTTCCCATAGAATCCTTGGATAAATCCCATCAGGCCCGGGGGATTTATCTATCTTCAAGTTCCTCAAAATTCCTAGTACATCTTCCTTACTAACATCCACCTTCTCTAGCCTCGTAATAGCTACCTCCACCCTAGGAAAAAGTCTCTGGGCTGTCCACTCTATCTATACCTCTGATCATTTTGTACACCTCTATCAAGTCACACTGCCTGCTTCACACTGTCCTCCCCTAAAACTAGGTCCCTCTTAGTTATGAATACCGAAGAAAAGTATTCATTAAGGACCTCAAAAAAGATTACCCTATACCTAACCTATACTTTGGAGTGGTTCCAATTCCCTGGGAGTTAAAGTACTTACATTTATTTTTATTGGTGTGTTGTTGACCTTCTTTCTCTCCTGTACATCCTTCAGTTTTCTGTAGAGTGGTTCGGTGAATTCCCCTAGAAGCTCCTGTAGGACCATGGAGACATGGTGGAGGCGGATATTCCTCTTGCTGTCTGTTGTATCAGTGACATGAGGTTGTTTTCCCCCTTGCACCACTTTCTGTAGCTTCTTGTACAGGAGAGTGTAGGGCGGGATGTTGTTGTAAAGTCGCATGAGGATTTCTGGTGTGAGGAATTCCTCAAGGTTCACCCCTTTCTCCTGGAAGAGTTCCACAAAGCCAGGCTTGTCACTGACAAGAGCTGCGAACATGGCTTGGTGGAGGTGGTAGGACTGGCGTGCAGAGAAACAAATGAGTTACTGGGTTGAGTGAAGAACAGTCAATGCACTTTTGATGAAGGACTTCTCTCAGTATCCTGCTCCAGTTCTGCATTCAAACATCTACTCTTCCACTGAGCAAGTTACCACAGAATTGTAAATAAAAACCAAAAGAACTGCGGATGCTGTAAATCAGGAACAAAAACAAAGTTGCTGGAAAAGCTCAGCAGGTCTGGCAGCATCTGTGAAGGAGAAGACAGAGTTCACGCTTCGGGTCCGGTAACCCTTCCTCAGACCCTTCCTGAAGGGTCACCGGACCCGAAACGTT